GCCACTGGAACAATAATGAAAAATAGAGTTCCATCCTCAGTACATTTAACTCAAGAGAAAATAATTCAAAAGTTTCCAAGAGGTTTCAGTGAATTAACTGTACGAGAAGATCATAAGATATGTGTTGTGCAGTGGTATGACCAAAATTCAGTTCTATTGGCATCAACCGCTTTGGGAAAAGACCCTATTGATGAATGCAAAAGATGGTCAAAAAAGGATTCGAAGTACATCAATGTTCCAAGACCAAAGATAGTAAAATGTTATAACGAATGCATGGGGGGAATTGACCTCATAGACCGCGTTATTAGTTATTACAGAGTAAGCACCATGACCAAAAAGTGGACCGTAAAATGTATTCTACACTTTGTTAACTTAGCTATTGCTAATTCTTGGATGTTATAAAGACAGGATCGTAAAAAAATGGGTGATCGTCCAAAAGATATAATGCAGTTTCTTGACTTCAAACTTAAAGTTGCTGAACTGCTACTTGAACTAAGAGACTGTCAAGACGAAAATTTGAATACTTTGAGACTTAAAACAAGAAGTCATCCACAAGGATATGCTTCTCCGCTAACAACCAAGCCAACAACTTTACGAGAATAGCGCTATCACTTTCCTGCATTGGCATCATACCTGAAGAACTCTGTTAGGTGTAAATTTGAAAAATGTCATAAGAAAACCAAATTTTACTGTTCACGTTGCCAAATCTTTTTATGTATAACTGCTGAACATTTGCTAGCTATCATTTATTTAATAGGCTGTAGGGTATTATGTAGATTCAAATAAAGTATAATACTAATATTTTGCGTTCTTATTGATGCCATAATTTGGGCAGGAGTAAGTACTAATGCCCATTTAAATGGACTCGTGTTTTTTTGTAGAAAAAGTAATTAGAAAAAAATTTAAACACCATTAATATGCATTAGAGACCTGAAATCTCAAAAAAAAAAATGGATTTCAATAAATTTGCACATTCCAGTTTTCCTCGGGTCCCAGGAGATGAGGATATTTTTATATGTATATGATATATATCATATACACAACAAATTCACGATACACCGTAAAAACAATCATCATATCGAGAACAACGACCTTTTCAAAAGAACTTACTTTAGTAGACTTACCTACAATCGCTGGGCTTTTACCCGTAAAATCAATTGAAAGATCACAATTATCAATTCCTAAAAATGTACCTTTAGCAGATCCACATTTTAATAAATCAGCACAAAATGATGCTTTAATTGGTAGCGAATTATTTTATGAATTACTAAGCATAGGTCAAGTCAATACATGTAACAGTTCTGTTATATTACAGAAAACCTTATTAGGCTGGATCGTAACCGGTAAAGTGAACGTTCCAAGTAATCTATCACTAAAATCAAGTTCATGTTTTTTAACATCAGTATTAGAAAATCAATTGCAAAAGTTTTGGGAAATAGAAGAAATTCATGGTAAAAAGCATTTATCAAAGGAAGAATCTGGTTGCGAAACACATTTTATGAAAACCTTTGGTCGCGATTCAAACAGACGGTATCAAGTATGATTACCCTTTAATGATAAAAAGGAATCTATCGGCGATTCTTATAAAACAGCATTAAAACGTTGTTATGCCCTTGAAAGAAAATTCGAAACAAATTCAGAATTAAAAGAAAAATATTCAGAATTCTTACAATTCTTAGAAGAATACGAAACATTAAATCATATCATAAATCCAAAGAACTAATAACAGGCATAGGCGTACCCCAGGGGTGTGTACCAGGTCCTATCTTATTCTTGCTGTTCATAAATGATTTTGAGAACTGTCTTAAAGGTAAAGCATCTGCAACGCTATACTCCGACGACACTTCCTTAATTGTGTCACACAGAAACGATACTACACTCGAAAAAGTATGTAAGGAGGTTGGTTCAAGTGCAACTCCATTTGAACAATAGCAGAACAAATTATATGAGATTCCATACTACTCAAAGCAGAAATGTAACGCAACTAAATATTAACAGCGACAACAACAATGAAATACTAGCGCAACAACCATACATAAAGTTCCTGGTTGTTACTATTGTTCCAACATTTACCTGGAAAATCCACTACCAAAACCTAATCTCAAAATTGTCAACCACTTGCTACCTCATAAGAACCCTTAAGCAGATATTTACGACAAAACAGTTACTTTGTGTATACTACGCGCAAATACACTCCCGTTTATCGTACGGAATCTGTTACTGGGGATCTTCTGTAATGGCACCAATCGTCTGCAAAATACAAAAAGGAATCATACGATGCATGCTGAGAGTAAACCAAATGACTCCGTGGAAGGACCTGTTTCGAAAACTGATTATACTAACCCTAACAGGATAATTATGTCTTGGAGATAAGTACAATACTGCATTAAAATCAAAGCACAATACCAAAAAATAGTGATATACATAACTATAATACGAGGAGAAAACAAGACATGTACACTAGCTACAAAAAACTAAACTTGTCAAAGAAACTATTGAGGGAAATTGGAATAAACATATATAATAAACTACCATATACAATTGAAACACAAAACACAAGAAAATTCAGGCAATCCCTAAAGTAATGGCTTATGGAGAAATATTTCTATGACCTAAGAGAATTCTTAGACCACAATAATCGTAATTAGAATAAGACTTTCATTATTGCAATTACCACTTACCCTTATAGTTTTTATATTTATATATTTTATACTCTTTACACTACTACTTACTCTTATAGTTTTTTATATTTCTATATTTTATAATGTTTACATCATAATTTTATACTATTATATTATCCTATGCATCTTGACGCATCCTATAAGTATAACTTGTACATCAACGGGAATAAAGACTATTATTATTATTATATGACAAATATAACCGATATTGATAATAAACAAGAGGGTTATTACATGCCACACCATGCCGTGTTCAAAGAATCTAGTACTACTACTACAAAAATCCGCGTAGTTTTTGACGCACATCCGAAAACAACAACAAATATCTCCCTGGACGATACACTCATGCAAGGTCCTGTTATTCAGGACGACCTCAATTCAATAATTTTGTGTTCTCGAGAGTATGAATACGTAATTGCAGCCGACATCGAAAAGATGTTTCGGCAATTTTTCGTTTCCCCCCAAGATGCCGTATTTCAAAAAATTCTTTGGCAAAATAGCATTCATGTACTCATTAAAACATTCATGCTTAACACTATAACCTATGGGACAAACTCAGCCTCTTATCAAGCAACACGCTGTCTTAAACAATTAGCTTTAGTCTATCCAAAACAATTTCCTCTAGCAGCATTAATTCTGGAGCGCGATTTCTATGTAGATGATCTAATAGCAGGTATAAACAATCTAAATTAAGCTAAACTTTTAATTGAACAAATAATTCAGCCGTTAAGATTAGGTGGGCTAAATGTAAGACAGTGGGTTTGCAATGAATCATCTCTATTAGAAAACGTAAAAGAATCAACTAATTCAAAAATTGTTAATTTAGAAGCTTCCAATACAAAAAAGATACTTGGGATTCAGTGGGATACAAATACCGATCCAATCCAATCCAAAGCGTAAAACCATTTAATAACGATAATAAAATCACTAAACGAAACATTCTATCTGAAATAACAACTTTTCGATCCCCTAGGCTTATTAGGTCCAGTAATTATTAAGGCTAAATTAATAATGCAGAGTTTATGGAAGGCTAATTTAAATTGGAACGAATCGATACCACAAGTTTTGCATACAGAATGGGTTAATTTAAAATTGCATTTGTTAAATAATTTTTCCGTAAATCGCAGGGTCCTAATAACAAATGCCGAAAACATTCAACTGTACGGCTTCTATGACGCTAGTGAAAAGGGTTACGGATTGTGGAAAAAGTTGAGGACTTAGCATACGGAAAGTTCCCAAGGAGATTGTAAGTCTCCTATATACACTAGACCACAACTGTGCCCCAAATTAATTTGACACAGTAATTTCTGTAGATTATAAGTAAAATAAAAAACTGGATAACTGAATTTACTATTGGATTTAATAAAACTTTAGAATTTGAATTACAACAACGAAATACAAAAAGGGAATATTGATAAAGACAAGATGTTGTGCGCTCGACAAGGGTCGCTACCCGAATGCTATTAGTAATAGCAACAACATTCGTTCCTCGTAACCAGCACATGCATACACACAACCAAGAGATCTGAGAGGTAGGTAAACCTGGGAATTTCCCGTGGTCGAAACTACCGCCCGAGCGGATGTAACCGTACAAAAGGCTCATAAACCCTAGCCCGATCGGTCAATTTTATGACCTGCCTACGTGCAAAATGCGATGTTATAATTCTCAGAAAGCTGGTTATAAGAATCGAATGAATGCTGTCTTATTCCTATACTAATACCGACTATTGTTTGTCGGTTTATTTGAAATAACGTAAAATATATGAAAAAATATATAAATGAGATCATTGCGACAAACCATACTCCCCCCGTTGAGAGAGTATCGATCAACATAACTTAATTAACAACTTATAAACTAATTTCACCACTTAAACGTCCCTTATATTATTTAGCTACACAATTGTCCTCGATAGGTAAAGGCGCGAGTTGTTTCACACATCTTTTTAACGTACTTGTCGCAGTCTTCACAGAAACAGTTCGAACAATCCCGTCAGCACCAGGATACGTCTTCACAACTCTTCCGACTGTCCAATTCATAGATGGGACATTGTTTTCTTTAATTAAAACAATGGTGCCATCTTGGATGGAGTGATGACCAGTAGACCACTTGTGACAGATGTTCAGTTCATTGAGATATTCTTTATGCCAACGTGCCCAGAAGTCTTGGCGGACCTTCTGGATGTGTTGCCATCTGGACAAGCGATTAGTTGGGATGTGTGAGTAATCGCCTTCCGGCAAGCTCGTTAAAATGTCGCCGATAAGGAAATGACCTGGGGTAAGGACCAGAAGGTCATTAGGATCATTGGACATGGGACAAAGCGGTCGAGAATTTATAATGGCTTCGATGTCGATAGTTAGAGTATTAAATTCTTCAAATGTGAAGATTGGGCCAGTAACCACACGTTTTAAGTGGTGTTTGAACGATTTGACAGTAGCCTCCCATAAACCGCCGAAATGGGGAGATAATGGGGGTATGAACTGCCAATTAATACCCTGATCGCTGAGAAACCTCGCCGTTCTTTCTTGATGCGCGGATGTTTGAAACAGATTGTAAAGTTCCTTTAACTCACTCCGAGCGCCAATGAAGTTTGTGCCATTGTCAGAGTAGATAGATATAGGCTTTCCCCGACGGGCAATGAATCGTCTTAGGCCAGCGATGAAACCTTCGGTGGTCAAATCACTAACGACCTCTAAATGTACGGCCTTAACGGCTAAGCAGACAAAGACCGCCACATATGATTTTACGAAGGTTGTGTTTCGATGCTTCTTCTGCTTTATCAGGAATGGACCGCAATAATCAACGCCAACGTTGGCAAACGGTTGGGCTTGTGTAACTCTAACTCCTGGAAGATCTCCCATGACATATTTTGTGTCTGGCGGGTTCGCTCGGAAGCAACGAACACATGATCTTATAATTTTACGGACTTGATTGCGTCCATCTAGAACCCAATATTTTTGTCGCATCATGTACAGAGTTGTCTGGATACCAGCGTGAAAGTTGTAAGTGTGATAATCTCGAATTATGAGATCAGTCACATGGTGCGACCGAGGTAATAATATTGGATGCTGCTGCGCATAGGAAATATTTGCATTTTTCAGGCGACCTCCTACACGCATTATTCCTTCATGATCGACAAAGGGATTAAGGGCCAGTAACCGTTTGTGTATTGGTTTCCCAGGCTTCCTTTTTGTGATTTCGTCTACCTTCTCGCTTGATAATGACGTTTGTACGAACTTCAGTATAGTCTTCTCAGCGTAAGCCAATTCGTCAGGTCGTAAACCGCCGCTGCGATTGGTTCCGGGTCTCATACGCAAACAGTATGCCACAACTCGTTTCAACCTGGTAAATGACGAGAAATCATGAAGAAAATCTGCATTTCCAGTAACAAAACAACTTATTTTCCTCGTCTCTGGTAAAACATCTGTCGCTGATATGACTGTCTTGGGCCATGCATCCTCCTCTTTCCTTAACCAAAAAGGACCTTCACTCCACGTTTCGTTTCGCAGAAACTCTTCCGGTAGTTGACCTCTAGACAAGGCATCAGCTGGATTAGACTCCGAAGGTACGTGATACCAATCGCCAATCCCCGTTTTAGCCTGAATATCTGCCACGCGGTTTGCTACAAATGTTTTGAGTAAGTGCGGAGATGAGTTTATCCAGTGAAGAGCAATTGTCGAGTCAGTCCAAAAGATTACTCGATCAAATGATACATTTATAGTATTGGTTACTTGGCAATACAACTTGGCCAACAATTGAGCGCCACACAACTCCAGGCGCGGTATGGACACCGTTTTTAACGGCGCCACTCGTGACCTTGCAGTAAGTAATTGACATTTTATGTTGCCCTG